TTTAGATATCCTGGCCACTAACTTAACCTCTGGTTCCATGTGGTAAAGGAGCAGCACTAGAACAATGGTGAACTAACATCAGGGCAGTACTGAAATCCTATTAAAGTTGGGAAGGAGTACAGGTACGAAGGAACTATGTATTCTGTAAAAAGGCATACCTATAAATATAATTAACTGAAACTCCTGAAATGCAGAAAAACTAGAGAGGAGAAGTGGATGAGAGTATGCTATGGCTATTTTTTTGTTAAATGGTAATGACAGAGCTATTGATCTGTTTTCTATAATGCTAGGAGAAAATAACTAAAGGCTGAGTGAAAGTAACTCAGAAAAAATCTCTAGAAAAAAAGAATAAAATGTTTAACTTTTAGGCAGCAGATGAAAATTTTATGTATCTAATGATAAATAGGTAAAAAGATAAAACAAAAACAAGAAGAAAAGATGGAAACTGTAAAATATGAAATAATTCAGCAGATTTAAGTTCTAATATTATAGTGATTTAAGTAAATATAAATAGGTTAAACTCACCAATTAGCTGACAAAGACTCCCAGGGAAGTTAGTACAAAGGTAAGATTTAGGAATAGGTGGACTACAGAAAACAGATTTGAATAAGAAGGTACAGAATAACTAAAAACAAAAAAAAATATATAGAAAATAGATGCTTTGAAGTAAATATGAAGCAAAAGAAAGGCAGTGTTGAATTTTTACAATCAGATAAATTAGAATTTGGGGTAAAATGCATCATAAGATACAAGAGAGGTGTTGCAATAAACCATGAAGTTGTAATAATCCTGAACATATATGTACATAGCAACAAAGATGTAAAATATATAAAACTATAATCGACAGAATTATAAGAAAAATACTATAGCTTTTGATTTATCATATACTTTTCAGAATTAGTTGATAAGACAAAATGCAAACTGGGCTATAGAAAATGTGTTTGTATTATTACTCTTATGTAAATGAAAAACATATAATTTTCACACCCAAAATAGAATATGAGTGCTTTTTGCATCCATGAGGAATATTTAAACAAACCTGTTTATGAATTAAGCTACAAAAGCCTTGAAAATTCTAAATAGCTATTATTTGGAATATCTTTTCTGACCAGAGTTAGAATCCAATAACCAAAGAATAGCAAAATACAGTTCCATATGTCTAGAAAATAAAATATTCCACTAAATAATTTTTGTTAAAGAAGAAATCCCAAGAGAAAATAGGTCAAAGTGACAATGGCATTCTAAATGTAAAAAATTCTGACATGTAGCTAAAACAATATTCAGAAAAAAATTATACATGTAAATTATATTTACAAATACTTATAGAATGCAGGAGTTATCAAAAATAAATGTATCGGTATTGATTAATACCAATAAAGGAGACAGGATGACAAATAAAGATATTGGTAGGAAGTAATAAAATAAGTATTTAAAAAATTTTTAAAGTATTTTTTAATTTAAAAAGAAAATAGGAACATAAAAGATAACATTACAGATAAAATTCTAGAAAAAAAACAACTAAAAAGTGAAACTATTCAAATAAAGAAAAGAAAGAATAAAAGAGTAACTAATTATAGATATTAAAGATCTCAGTACTTTATTTTTTAATTTAATTTTATTGTTTAAAGTATTACAAATAGTAGTACATATGGAAAATTATATTATAAAATATGTTAAGAAATATGAATGCCTGGGAAATACATTTGAAATGTATTTTTGAGAAATGCAAATATATCAAAATTGGCCCAAGAAAAATCTGAAACCTTGGGTAGAGTATTAGCTATTATAAAAGGTATTTAAAATCTTCCTCCACGAAGGCACAGTTGGTTTTATAGCTGAGTAATGACAAACTTTCAGGGAACAGTAATTTCTACCTTATGCAAGTCATTAAGTCTCTTATTAAAGTCATTTCTGAAAATAGAAAAGTAAAGAAACCTTGTTAACTTATATCAAAGCGAATATAACCTTTGTGGCAGCTTTTGGTTAATCCACTCTAGTGGAGACTTTCTGTTACAGGTGGGCACTTATGTAACTAATAAGGGGACTATAAATTTTTAGAGGTCAGAAAAAAAAGACTTGAATTAAACAGTTATATTCCATAAGCTGGGATTAAAAATGTCAAAGTGATAAAAATGCCAGTTTTCTGCAAGTTAATTTACTAGGTTAATGTAATTACAATCAAAATTACAGAGAAGTTTTTTTTCCCAAGGGAATTAATAAAGTGATTCATATGTTTTCTTGAATAAGTTGAAAAGTAAAGGAATATCTGAAGTTAGATAGACCTGATTTATTCCAACAATGTTTAATGCATATTCTAATAATACTTCAGCAAAGAATGAGAAAATGGAACAGAATATGAAGGCCAAAAGCAGTCCAGAGTGTAAACACACAAATTCAGTAGCTAATAATGCTGAACCTCCAACAAGAGGGAAAGGGGTAAATCAGTGTTTAAGAAAAGTGTGAGCCATCTTGTTAGCTATTTGAAAAAATTAAGCTAAGGTACTTGTCTTGTTGTACACAAAAATTTCCAGTATATCCTTAATAGCATTCATTCACCAAATATTTCATCACTATCTTCCCAAGAATGTGCAAAGGCTGAGGATACAACAGTGAGCAAAGCCAGAGGAGCTTAGAGTCTACTAGGGAAGATACAGAATAGGCCAAAAGCAGGACTGATGGAGATGTCAGTGTAAAGTGCTTTGCCCAAATAGCATGACATGTACTTTTGCTTGAAATAATGTAATTAAGAGAAGCCTCTGTAATATGAGACTTTGTACAGATTCCAATAAGCATGACTACCCACCTCCACCCCAGGTTTTGTGCATAATCTTATGAAAAATATCTGGTGCTATACAGTATTTGGACGTGTATCTTAATCACATAACCAAAGTTAAAACTAACAGTGGCACTGTATGAGATACAGATGCTATGTAAGAGTGCCATGTAGTTGATACTCAATGGCAATCTCCCAAATATGTTAATGCTAAATATAAAACAAAAGAAAATCAATAAATTAGAAGTGAAATGGTGTGGTATTTGGTTTGAAGATGTCAGTTAATCTGGAAATCCCTTATGAGAAATGGTCCTAAGATAGGCACTGCTGTATGGAAGGGAATTCTGAGTTTTGTGAACATTACAGAATAGTGTACTTTGTTGTACTGAGACAGTCACACCTGATTTAGAACTAGGAATAGTTATAAATCATATGAAAAATCCATGTATTTTGCCTCAAGGACTCTGTGGACTATATGAATGAAAATGGTTCAACCTGACTAATAATGGGTGGAAAGGAATGGGCACTCTCAACTCATAAGTACATTTCTGCATCAACCAAAAAAGCCATTCTGGTTCAATTTCACATTAAATATCACAAGTCCCCCAAATATTCATATTCTTTGATTTAATAATTCCAGTGTGAGAAATTATCCTAAAGACAAGTGCAAAGGTATTTACTGCAATTTTACTTTTAATAATAATAATCATAAGAAGACCTGGAAGTAAAGAAAATATTCCCCCAAAAAGGAATTAGAAAGATAAACCATGAAAAATCCGTAAGATGAAATAGTGAAGAAGCATTCGTTACGAAAGAACATTTGGTGACATGGGAAAATCCTGACACTACAAATTTAAATATAAAGAGTAGGAATTTAACATACTCTATAGTATATAATCCCAAATACCACAACATTGGGATTATGAGAGATTTTTTATATTTATATAATTTTGTATTTTCCAAAACTCTAAAATGAATTTAAGTTTGTTGGTTTGTTTGTTTTTACATAAAAACTTATACTTGAAAAGTATATTCACCTTGATACTGGTCTCAAAGATGTAAATTTTGTCATAGGAATTAAAAAGGTAAGTCAACATTTTAGGCATATAAAGCATAACATCAGAATGTATAAACTTGACCTATTTATGATATAGCAAAATTAAAAATTCCAAATGAAAATTAGAAACTACAAATAAAATCAGTAATCACAAATCTGCAATTATCAAATTTACTTTTCAAGTATAGGACAACATTCCCCACCTCCCACCCCCCACCCCCGCCCCCGGAAGTGGTCAAGTCCCTAACAGACTTGAAACCACAGAACAGTGGTTTTCGAGCCTCAGTGCTTCATGGTTATTTGGGGAGGCTGTAAATAATAGCATAATGTACTTGTCTTCACAATGGAGGATGTTCCCTAAAACAATGAAGAATAAACTGCCTGTGGACACATTCACCACTATTTCCCTTTTAGGTCTTGGAGTTCTGAGTAGTTCAGACAGCTCCTGCCTTGAGAGCACTGATCTCAGGTTTCAAGAGGCATCTCTCAGACTCCCCTGCCTGTCTTAGACTCATGGGAGGTATCAGCAGAAAGAGAGAAGGGACTGGGTACACATCACCCTTGCCCCCAAGATGTAGTTTTTAGCAGTGGCTACACCTTACAAAGCTGCAGATGTTGAATGGCCCTCTTTCCAAAAAGGTCATCTCCCTCTTTACCATTAAGCCAAAAGATGGCAACAGCTTCACCTTCCCTTGGTAGTTCCACTAGCTTTGTTTGAAGTTCATTCACTACTTTCTTCAATTAAACCATTTGGTTATATCATCTGACTGCTGTTGGGACCTTATCTATTTTAGGAAAAGGAAAAAAAACCAACTTCTTAAAGCCACTGTTTTAGAGGAAAGCTTATCACCAGGTCCCCAAACTCCTATAAAACTGAAAAAATATAACATGAACTTATCATGAAAACTGCACATTTAAGCTACAGCTTGAAATTATAGAATAGGCAAGTTGTAAGCTGTCACTATGACAAATAACAAGGGTTTAAATTAATGATTGTGGAACAAGAGCCACTTAAATTTTACCTTGAAATTCAATGTGATTCAAGACAATTCTTTATGAAAAGGCTCTATTATGAAAACTGATAAATCTTACTACATTTTTCAAACAAAAATACATACTTAATAATGAAATGGACGGCTATAAAAAGTACTTTGCGGACCAGCAGCTCACCTCTTTGAACTTGTGACTGAGCTTGGTGGTGTCCAGGTCTGACGGGGAAAACATGTCCTCGTTCTCGGGCAGCTCGAAGACTTCAATGGCCATGTCACTGCCGGGAAGGGTGGGCCCCTCCTCATCCTCCTCTTCATCGGTGGCATAGTCTCCTGTCTGGAAGGAAGGGGGTTTCAGAACTCTAGCCGCCCTCCCCCAGGGAGAGACGGGTGATTTGAAAATAGTTTTTATAAAAGAGAAATAAAGTGGTAAAAGTGTAAGTAGGCTTTTAAGTCAAGCATGCCTCATGCAGCCAATGTTATAAACAAATGTTAGTTCAAAAACTCAAAGTGACATGTCTATGCCATGTATAAGTGCATTTCTGAAAAGCTACTGTCATCATCAGCATCTCTAGTATAGCAACAAGAATTGCTCTTAATCTAAGTATTTGATGGTTTTATTAAATAAAATAACTCCTTTAAATTCTCATCGCCCATGTGAATAAGTCACCCGATACTAGGCGAGCGGAAAAAGGAAGGGGAGATCAAAAGATTCACAGAATTGAAAGGGACCTTAATTAAATCCTACAAAAGTGTAGTAGATGAATTCACCTAAGCTTTAGAATGCAATCATTCTGTCTCATCTATTTAACTAATGTGGTTAACTACTGACCTAAAGGATAACCCCAAGGTTTCTAAATTTACAGTCCACATGAGTGTATTGTTTTGCCTGCAGAGTCCTATGATAAATCTTAGCACTTCATCAATGCTAAAAAAAAAAATTCACATAATATTCTAGGTTTCCAGTTTTTCTTGAGAAAGCACATTATAACATGATAACAATTAGCCAGAGTCAGCAGTAGTTACCCCTTTTGGCTGGGTCACACAGTTTCTAATACTCCACAACTTCTGTAACTCCATATTGTTCCATGCTGTTAACTTCCCTCCTTCATGATATCTGCAGGCCCCTAAGGTATCTGAGTTCATGACCCTGGGATAAATGTTCCTCCTCACCACTAACTTCCTTAATATTAAAAGGTAGCTCTGTTCCTGGCAACATCGGGCTATGAGATGCTAATTCAAAATAACTGTTTGAGATCTATAGCTTATGATATAATTGAAAGATAAATCACTGATTCAACAAAAAACAAAGTTCATTTAATTCATCTTTGCTCCTTCAGGTAGTCCCATCTAAAACATAAAACAGGTAAGAAGTCATATTGCCTTTAAAAAAACTTTCATAAACAGTGTAGTGAGTGATCTATTCCCTTGGTTAAATAGGCTTAGCATCTGATTGCTTTTTTCTTTTTTTCTTTTGGTTCTGTGCGATGCTCTTGCTAGAGCTGAAACTCCATTTCTTTCACTATGCTTGCATCTGAAGGAAATATGATCATGAACCTCAATGTAATAATTCCTCACGTCTGGAAGATCACTATTAAACTGCCGTTCCGACTTCTCCTTTTGAGGTAAAACAACTGCAGAATTCTCATGGGTCTCAGTCTCTGTGATTATCTCTGAACCTGTATTCTGATTCTAAGTTTTCCACATTTCTCTTAAATCATGGAGCCCAGAAGTAGACACAATTTCTAGTAAGGAATCCGAGGGCCATTGTTCACAATGAACAAACTGTCTTGGCATTCTTCAGACTCTACTTCCCACACAGAGGTTATTATCATGAAGACCTTGACTGGGGTGGCATTTGTATAAAAGTACCTGGAAGTCTAGGACTCATCAGAAACCAGTGTTTAAAAAGTCCAAGCTATAACTACCATTCCCAGTGTCCTAGGCCCCGACAGGAAAGGGAGCTGAAGAGTGGGGCTGGTGGGTTCCAGAGAGCTCCCACTTGTTGATATAATTAGATCCTACAAATCTTAACAGAACTCTTACTCCAGATTTGATACGGGGTGTGTTGTTTTTGTTTTTTTTTTCTGTGATAGTCTGTAAATTAATTCACCTCCAATTTCTATATGTATTTAGAACCAATAGAAACTTTATAAATCCAGCTGATGTTAATCAGTAGGAATGTAGCAGGGCTGGTACGTGCACAATCTCAAGACACCTTGCTGAGAGTTTTGATTTAGAGACATAAAACGCTGTGCTTGTTTTTAACCCTATAATTATAACTAGCAGCACAGCCACACTTTTTTATGAAGGCCTAAACCAGGTATATAAAATTTACTTCTATATCATCAATGTGATGAATATCATGAGTGACTCAATAAAATCTTAAGCTAAATTTAAAGTCTGACAATGATGTAGCACATTTTAAACATACGAGTTGAAATGTACATTATCTTCATAAATGTACGTTATTAAGAAGTCTTCCTCTTGATTCTTTTATTTTTTTACTTAGCCAATTTTCTTTCTGTCTCAATATCCAAATTACCTGCAACTCTGCTAAAATACTTTTTATTTTTCATTGCATCTTTTTATTTACTAACATTGCTCTTTCTAATTAGTCTTATAAGCATGCTGAGGATCAGATATGTCTTTTACTGTCTTGATTATATGAATTACTTATTAGAGGCTCTGGATAGGGCATTTAAAAACTCATGTTGCTGGTCTCCCTCACTGATCAGTTACTGTTCCCATCCTGAACCAGCTTTAGAATAAAGGAGGCAATTACTACAGAACCTCAAACATCTAGGAGTTTAACAGTTACATCTAGTAGACTAAGAATAATGTGTGCATCTGATTCTTTTATCTACTTTGAAAATGGGCATTACTTTTACAGTAAATCTGCAAGTGAAATAAATTACATAGAATGATATGTTAGCAGAATTCCATAAACCTCAAAATTAGATTGAACTGAATCTGAAGTTTACAAAGGATGATGGACAATGATGTAGAAAAAAGCAACTGCTACAACAAAGTATTCCATCGGCATCCAGTTCCTTATCTTTATTTCTAGCCAGTTTCAACATCTTTCATAAAAAGACTCTTGAAGAGTTCTTTGTCCCAACTTGCAAGTGCACTTTAAATGAGGCAAGAATAGTTCTTCGTGTAAGGAGTGAAGGGACAGTACATGTTCTTTTTCATCTCCTTGTTTGCCTTCTTGCTTATTAGCTTATACTTTTTAATAGCCCCTCCCCAAAAAAGGGGGCAAAAAATTAATAACAATTATTTTTATAACTTACTGTGTGCCTGACACTGTACATTTCTTAAAAACTGGATGATATAGGTTATTACTATGCCATCTTAATTTGAGGAAACTGAGACTCAGAGACTTTACCCAAGGTTAGACATTCAATTATGTGCTTGAAGCTACATCTAACATATTCCAAAGCCTATGCTCTTTTTCCTATGCGATGCTGCCTGCAGTCTACATGAGCTAAAGCTCTGCAGATAAAAAAACAGAAATACATTCCTTTCATATTTCCCCAGCCAAAACCCTAGTGCATAATCCTGTTGTGTTGAGATTCCCCTTCCACATCTTTGAACATTATCATTCAATTCACTTTGAAGATTTGAAGAGTGTCTCTGACGAGCTCCAAAGTTCTTATCCTCTTCTTTTCTCTCATAACATGCTCACCCTGGGCAAGAGCACAGAAATCTCCTTCAAAAGATTTAGCTTACGGACCGGCTGACTGATGTTTCACGCACTCTTTCTTGTGTAAACCAGAACTATAGCGTACAGTCTGTAGAATTACTGCAGTGTCTTAAAGTGGACAAAACCCCTATTTGTAAGGCAGAATGAGTGTAACATTCCGCTAGGTGTCTATGGTTTATATCTCTTACATTTCCTTCTCACATCTAATTTTCTTGAGCTACCAGTCTTTACTGAATCTTCCCTAAGCATTTTATCTCATTTTCACAGACACACTTCCTTTACACTCATATTACTTACAGAATTAGATATTTCATTAAAATACACATTTATAATAATAAGTAGAGCTGTTCTGCCTCTTAGTAAACATGTAACTTTTGACTGGTGGGGGCAGAAGCGAGTGGACACACTAGAGCCCTAACACCCAGGAAAGCTGCGGATCTCAGCCCGGGTTGTACAGAGGAACAGACAGATCTGTTATGTTGGTGAGGTGGTTAAATGGCGACCAATGAAAGAATCTTGGTTTTGAAGTTGCCCAGGCCTATGTTCAAATCCTGGCTCTGTGATAACAAGGTTGTCATGAGATTAAATCAGATGGCGCCTGTAAAGTGTTTGTGAAAGTCCGGCACATGGTAGGTGCTCAAAATGAGCAATTGCAGCTTGTTGCTGCTGCTGGTACTAATACTGTATTAGTACCAGCAACATGCTAAAGCTCTCCAATCTATCTCATATCCGGACATCTGCTAATATAATGTCCTAAACGACCTCGCCACTAGAGTCTTTTATAAGCAAATCGGTCAGTCATTTCTGAAGTAAAATGTCTCTATCCCGTAAACTTGCTCATCCTCTTATATCCCCGGTTTTGGAGTCGATACCAGCTTCTATCCCAGAAAACGTCCAGGCCTCTGTTCTCGTCATGTAACTGGATCCCCTCCTACCCCAGTGATCAGAAGTGAATATCCATCTACTTAGCACATCCTCTGAAGCTGCAGCCTTAAGACTCTTCTAATTCAACCCTTTATGTTTCTGCTACATGTCTTATATCACTCATAAAAGTTGCTATTTGAGAGTGCTGGGTAGGGTTTATTCCTGCAATGCCAGGGTGGCTAGCACACTGCTTGGCACATAGGAGGCACTAAAGAAATGTTTGCTGAATAAATTAATAGTCATAGCTACATCTGCATAGCATGGCAGAGCCTAATTTTCCTGCTAATTCTCAGCTTTCAAGTAAGAAATACAGTGACGCACAGCTGTAGCTGGGGCCCAAGTGACCCTTTGGGGGATTTTCTCTTGTTGTCAGGCTCAACCATTAGCAGTAATTTTTGCTGTAGCAATGTTTGCTCTGGTAAATTCAGGGAAACTAAATGGTGCTAATCATAAAAATAGCCTTAATTACGCAGTTTGTGTTGGCATTTGTTTATCGGATTTGAATTTGGTTATGTATATTTTCAGACTCAGTTCTGTGAATGAATAGGAGAGAGTTGCTTTTTATCTAGAGAAGAAAAGACCTCAAACTAACACTTTAATGTTTAAAATTCCTAAATCTGTGCCAACCATCCAGATGGTTTTCAGCACAGTATCCCCTTCTCTGCAAAGGCCTCCCTCTCCATTTGCTGTCAGTTGACTTCTGT